ATGAAGCGAGGAAGATGTAAAGTTGTAGTGGAAACGACAATACATATCGCCGATCTCCGTGGGATGGAGGTCCTGTACAAGCACTGAAAAAACAACAGCAACAAAACAAAAACAAAAAAAAAGCAAACAATAACACTAAAATTTTAGGCACTCTTAAAGACCTGCCTCTAAAAGCATTGGATGTAGCATTGTGCAATTAGGTGTTTCCTTATTTGCTTCATTGTACTACCTGTGTATATAGTTTTTACTTTATGTAGCACATAAACCTTGTTGGGAGGGGGGAGGGAGTGGAAGAGGGTGACCTATTGGAACTTGCTTTCACAATCTAGCAAGCAAAGAAATGTATGAAGAGAAGCAGTGTAGGTTTTTTATTACTTAAAGATGTATTGTCCCTTTAAGTGGGTCCGCCGTGTTTTTCTTTTTTTTTTTTTTTTTTTTTTCTTTTTATGTACCATCGTGGTAACCCTGCTCAGAGCAGATTATTAACAGGCCGCTGGTGAAATGTCTTCCTCCTGCATTAAGCTGAAGAGGTGGGAGCTGTGATGATTCCGTTATGTAGTAGCAAAAGTTCCCCCCCTGCCCCTCGACCTCAAATCCATACAGCAAATTTGAATGCCTTTAAAAGTTGTGTAAAATCATCCTGTTGTTACATTGCCTGATTTCCTTTTTTTTCTTTTTTTTTTTACCTAACCTGGAGGGCTTTTGCTCTGAATCTCAAATATTGTTGTTTCTGATCTGACCCACTTCCCGAAGTGTTTGTGTGTGAGAGAAAAGGGATACTACATCTTTAAACAGTATTTCTACATTGCCTGTGTACCTGTATGTAAAAATAAAAAAAAAAGTTTGAAGTGTACCTGTGTACATAACTCTGTAAAGACACTGAGAAATTATACTAACTTATTTATGTTAAAAGATTTTTTTTAATCTAGAAGACAATATTTTTCCCCATAAAGCCAAAGTGGCATGTTTTTGTGCATTTGTAAATGCTCTATTTGGTAGACTTTTTAGGGTTTTTTTTTTGTTTGGGTTTTTTTGTTGGGGTTTTTTTTTTCCTTTTTCTGATAATATGGCTGTGCTTAAAGGATTGCAGACTGAGCCAATTTAATATTTTTTTTTTTTGTAATGTGTGGGAAAAAAAAATCCAGATTGATATTGTTTCACATCAAGCAATCAATAAAGAAAACTGCCATATATAAGATACATGTTCTTCATTAGTGTGTGTTTCAACCTCCCTCAGCTTGGCACAGGAGGAAATAAGGCTCCTTCAAGACATACAGCAAGTTTCCTTTGGGTATCTCTTCCTGTGTCTCCAGCGCAGGTGAAAGTAAGGAATGCAGCTTGCTCTCTTCACCCTTAGTGCCATGCTAGCATTTCTCCTCCGTGATTATTGGGAATGATGTACCCTCTTAACGCCAAAGAGTGGAATTTCCTCTGTCACAATGTGGGTTTTTTTTTTTCTTTTGGAGAAAAATACGTAGCTCGAGGTACTTCTGGCACTTGGTCGTTTGACTAGTAAGGCTTAAAACCCGAGCCCAAATTAGCACCTTCCTGGGCC